GATCCTCCTGCCTCAGCCTCTGAAGTGTGGGCATGATAGGTACATGCCACCGTGCCTGGCCTTTTTAAATTCTGAGACAGGGTCTCCCTAAGTTGCTGTGCTTCCCAGGCTGGGTTCAAACTTGCGATCCTCCTGCCTCTGCCTCCCAAGTGCTGGGATTATAGGCGTGCATCATCAGGGCAGCTACAATTTTGCTTGAATCCACAGCTGGTTAAATCTGCAGGCCCAGAAGCCGAGGATACAGCTATCTACACTGTAATCCTGTCTAGATTGAGTTCGGACTAGGTGAAACAGCTATGGTGTGTGGGGAAGCTCAGAGAGGGGGCAAAGCCAATGAAAAGCAGGAACATGGGACACAGAAGGTGCAGTGGGCACTCCTGTACATCCCGGCTCCTCAGGAGGCTGAGGCAGGCAGGGCAGAAGCTCAAGTTTGAGGGCAGGCTGGGGTGTAGCTCAGCGCTCCCCAGGTTCAATCCCAGACAGGAAAAGTGGAGAACACCAAGTAGAGACCACGCAAGTCCAGGCGGCGGGGCCGAGGGCTGGCGGGGTGCGCGGGCACTCACCACTCGGTGCAGATACTTGTGGTCGTAGGCGCTGACGGGCTGGCCATCGAGCAGCACGCGGCCGCCCTGCAGCGGGTAGAAGTTCTCCAGGATGTTCACGCATGAGCTCTTCCCACTGCCCGAGGGCCCCACGAGGGCCGTCACCTTGCCAGGGGACAGGCTGAAGGACACGTTCTGCAGGGCCAAGTGGTACCAGGGGTCCTGCGTCAGACACAGCTGGGTGCTCCCTACCCACCTGAGTGTGCTCCTTCCTAGGACACCGGGACTCAGTGGTGCCTGGATGCCACCATTTCCTCTGTAGAGCCACGTGTCTGGCTACAGGAGCCGTAAGGGGCTCGCTTGGTGTCACCTCCTCCAGGAAGCCCACCCGGAATGTTTTCATCCAGCTGTGTACAACCCCCAGACAGCCCCGTTGCTCATCCCTGGAGTCACCAAGCCCTCACCTGTAGGACCTGGGTGTGTGGCCGAGTGCGGTAGGTGAAGGTCACGTTCTCGAAGTCCACCCGGCCCTCCAAGTGGTCGGGCGCCAGGCTGCCGTCGTGCGCCATGGTTGGCTGCCGGTCAATGAACTCAAACACCTTCTCGGCAGCGCCCACTCCCTGCATCAGGCCACTGTACACGGAGCCCACGGACTGCAGGGACAGGACAGGGGCTCTGGGGACACCGCAGGGCTGAGGAGGGGCCTGCCAGTGCAGTGGGTGACAGCAACAACAGGCATACTCTTGGCAATGAAAGTCACGTGGCACTTCCCTGGCCAGGGCTGGAGACCGCCCCGCCCCCCAGCTAGGAGCCCAGGCTTGTGGCAGGGCACCCAGCTGCCTGAGCCGTGTCCTTTCCTGGGGAAGGAAAGCACAGCACGCTGGCACCTCTCTCTGGGCTCTTTGGTTTGGGTCTGCCCTGAGACCCACCTCTTCTTGGTTCAGGCTCTCACCTCCATGCAGTCCCCCAGCACGAACTCGTAGATGATGAAGGCGATGAGGTTGCCGCTGGTCATCTGGCCAGAGATGACAAGGTGGCCGCCGTAGTAGAGGATGCTCACCTGGACCAGCAGCAGCGTGAGCTGGGGGAGAGGGCACCTGGGTCCCGGGCCTTGCACGCCCACATTGGGGAGGCTGCCTGGCAGGGTGCCCCTGCCCTGCCCCATCCCAGCTCCCCCGAGGAGGGCCTGGCCTGAGGGTGGCTGGGCCTCTGGAGCCCCACAACAGCCTGCCCAGGGTCACGATCTGTCCCCACCCCAGGCCCAGAGCTAGGGCAACCACTGATGCTGAGTGGGAGCCCCTCCCTGCCTCCTCAGCTGGCACTTTGGGAGTGTCCTATGTGGGAGGAGGACGCCAAGAGTCCTTGCCTCCTGGCCCCCCTGAAGGCCTCCAGCTCTTTCCTCCCAAGGCGCCAATATTGCCCAGGCTGGCCTCAAACTCCCAGGGATCCTCCTGCCCCAGCCTCACTCGTACCCCAGCAGCTCCTGAATCAGCCCACCTCCTGGGGGTCAGGGGCAGCCGTGGGACCTTGCTTTGTCTGCAGGCTGTACTTTGCCACTGTCCTGATCAAGGGTCCCCGCTCTGCACCCAGCACAAACCCCGCTGCCCCAGACGTAGGACGTGTAGGCGGCCGCCTCCTTGCGGTTAAGCCGGTACACCTGCTGCAGCTTGCGCCCATACACCTCGGCCTCTTCCTCCTCGTTGGCAAAGCTGCGCACCGTCTTCATCGCACTGATGGTCTCCTCAGCTGTGCTGCTGGCCCGCGCCAGGGCGCTCTGTACCTCTTTGGAGAGCCGCTGCGGGCAGGCGGGAGGGACAACAGGGACTGCAGACAGACAGCTGCGCTTGTCCCAAGCCCAGCTCTGTTACCTTCCTACAGGAAGTTCCACCCTACCCTCCAAGTCGTGTCTCCTCCAGCTTGACTTGAGACTGGGGGACAGATGGGTGGGGACAGGACTTGAAGTCAACTTCAGTACTCAGAAGAGACTTCAAGCTGGGTGTGCTGGAATATTCCTGCAATTCTGAGGCTGAGGCAGGAGGATCACTACAAGCTCAAGGCCAGCCTGAGTAACATAGTGAGCTGAAGCCCAGCTGGAACTACATAGTGAGACCTTGTCTCAAAAACAAATGAGGGCCAGGGAGATGGCTCAGTAGAATAA